AGACACATCTAACGTACAGAGCATAGTTTGGTCTAGATGCGTCTGCGGGGTAGCTAAGGAGTCATTAGCTTCGGCCTTGTCATGAAGTGAGGAGGGTATCATTCCCACTTCATCTTGAGTAGAAGCCGCTATTACTTCCACTGGCCCTACGCGTTTCCCGAGCTAGATGCCTGGGAATAAGTTGCCCCAACCTTTGGTGCAACCTTTTGCGTAACCTTCGCGTTCTGACACTTCCACTGTGTGTGTCCGTATTCACCGCAGTTGATGCAAGCGCCACGCGATCGACGGTCACGCCACACGTCCTGGTCAAGACCTGCCTTTACCGACTCAGTCTGTTTGGTCTGATTGGAGGCGGCCTTTCCTTGACTCCTAGGTTGGTCCTTACCTCGGCCACATGCCTTAGTCTTTACTACCGCGGCGAGGGTGCTACCCTCAGCTACCTCCTCGCCGTCACACTCTGAATAGTCCACCAGGTCAAAGAGCTCGTCGATTTCAGTTTGGGTCCCATCTGACTCAACCATCATCAACTTCGCTCCCTTCTTCTTCCACTCCTAGGGACTCTTCTTCTTCTTTGAGTCGTTCCCTGAGGTGGGTTGAGCATTGCCTAGTGTTGCCTCTAAGTCTAAGGCCTTCCTAGACAATGTCTCAAACGAGTGGTACTCGGTGCGTACCTCACTGACCAGTAAGTTCCTAATGTTCTCTGGAAGACATCTAACAAAAGTTGTTAACAGGAACTGGTTACTGTAGTTGATGCCCGGGACGAGGATCAGGCCCTCCACGGTAGTTGTAAGCTCCCTAATGGCCTCCTGTGGGTTATGCCATAGAGCTTCTACCATCTCCATGAATTGGTCTAAGGTCAAAGACTTAGCCCAATCCGCCATGCGTCGCCCGTACCCGGCCTTCACAACTACACCATCTAGCCACTTGGCTGCTTTACCCTCTAGGTAAGATGCTGCAGTTACCACCTCATCCTCTGGCAAGGTCCTTTTTGCCTTCACCCAAACCGGGACCGTCCTCAACCATGTGTTGAGTTCCTCGTCCTTTCTCTCGCCTGAGAAGGCAAGAGGCGGTTTCATTGGGGKCTTGGGGTACCATTGACCTTGCTGCTGTCCAGATTGTTGAACAGGTTGTTGTGGTGATGTAGCAATCACCACTGGACCCGAAGAAGAAGATGCAACAGTCTGTGAGACTGCTGCAGACGTACCACTTGGCTGTGTGCCAGCTTGTACGGGAAAGGGACCTGACATCGCCGTTAACGGCAACGGCGATTGTGCTGGTGGCCTGAATCCTGGCCTTGTCAATACATCCAGGATCTGGTCCAAAGTGCTCTGCATGAAGTCCAACCTGCTGTCCACATGCGCGTGCAATGACAACATTCTTCAACACTTTCATGTTGTCAGACAAACCCGTTTTGTCCAATCCTTCTAACTCAACTTTGTCAGTCTCTAGTGTATCAACCCTGGCAGCTCTATTCTTTATCTCTTTTTCTCTATCAGTAGTCTCTTTCAGTTCTCTTTCTTACCTTTCGCGGACCCTTTCGACCTGTTGGAGTTCCCTGAGTTCCCGCTCACGTGCGGTCAGCGGGCTGTACTGCGAGCCCGCCATCTGACTAGTAGACTGTCTAGAACTTGTTGATCCGGAAGTGCCCGAGGAACTTGTGGAACTAGTTGGCATTCCCACACTCATCCCATTAGTCCCTAACAAAGCCGCAGAGGATGCTGCTGAGCTAGTCATGACTGCTGCCCTAGCTGCTGCGGCAGCCTGTTCCCTAGCTGCGGTGTTTGCTGTTGCTCTCGATGCTGCGAGAGCAGGGGCTCTGCGTTCGGCACAAAGTTGTCTTAATTCTTTCTCGTCTAGGGTCCTGAACACGTACGGGATTCTACTTGTTCCTGAACGTGTTAGTCTAGTGTTGTCAACTCTATCATCCACAGGATCTGATCCACTCATTAGTTAGACAGGCAATATCTGCACTAGAATCCCCTAGTGGAATCCTACCGCAGCAGATGTCTGACCGACACTTAGTTTTCTATAAATAGTTGTGTCCGGCAAGTCCCCTACTGTACTGATCAAGTGGCATGTCTACAACATTCACATAGATTGTCTACATAGTCCAGATGCACTTTGACTAGTTCACTTACAGCAGCACTAGATAGAACTGGCTATGGTAGTATACTTCAGTCCTACTCTAGTCTGTCTGTGAGGTGTTAGCAGTCTGTCCACCAACTAATCAAAAGTACAAAAAGACAATGTAACAGATGTATGATTGATGGGTATGGTTGTGTATACAGTTGAGCACCAATTAGAACCTACCCTCCCCTCAATCCAACATACCGATTAGCATCTTTGAGCAGGCAGTGTCTTCGTGTGTGTTTCGGCCCACCCCTGTGCCCAAGTTGTCACCGAGCAAGTCAGGCCAACCACTCTTATTTGTCCTCGTACGGCGACGAGCCTTCCTGTCCATGTGATCTGGCTGATCAGGAGGAATTTATAGAGCACCCCCATCTCTTCAGGAATTATTTAACGTCGCAGTCAGGACGACGATCACA